AGCTTTCTATAAAAGAGACTTGAGACTTCAATGGGCTGACAAAAAAGTAATACTGAAAGGGACAAGCAACAAAGTTGGGGTATTTTGAAAGTCAGTCTTTTATTTTTTTCCCACACTGGGAGATATGTGAAGAACACTGATAAAGAGCTAATCAATGCCTAAAGGGTAATTATCTACATAGTTTGCTCTGCTGGTGTAGATTTTTTCGATTGGCAGATGCTAATGTGGTTTTCTTGCTGTTTGAGACGGTGGTGCACTGTCTATCATACATCAAGATTCCACTGCTTTAGCCAAAGCCTGAACTCACTGTGGTTCTCACAGCTGAGCTAAAAAGGCAGGGCAAGCAGCATTCTGCTCACAAGGTGAGTCCTAGGAGCTGCTGACTGGAGTTGGAGCTGGAACCGGTGTCAGAAGAAGGCCATTTGTCCTGGACATCAAGTCAGTGCGTAAGGTTTGCTCATTTACTGTTCAGGGCTCAGGATTAAGAAGGCAGCTTGCAGGGGAAGTAAAACTCTAACAATTTTTTATAAAAAAGCAAGCAGAAGATCAATGCTATGAGACTGGTCATTTCCCTTTGCACATTTTTGTCCCTGCCCTGAGATAGGTGAGTTTGCAAGGGGGAGTTAAGAAAAACATGCTTTAAATGATTGTTAAAGAAAATCCTGACAACCAGATGGTTAGAATGTGTTTACTGTGATAATTATAGTGTATAGAACAATTTTTATAGAATCATAGAATACCAGGGTTGGAAGGGACCTCAGGAGGTCATCTAGTTCAACCCCCTACTCAAAGCAGGCCCAATCCCCAGACAAATTTTTGCCCCAGATCCCTAAATAGCCCCCTCAAGGATTGAACTCACAACCCTGGGTTTAGCAGGCCAAGGCGCAAACCACTGAGCTATCCCTCCCCCTATATAGATAAACCCTCAGAAAAGGCTGTATACACTAGTTCAAAAACTTGTTAATTACTGGTTTTATTGTATGCTCTAGTGCAAGATCTTCTCTTTAATTAGACATTATCTAAGGATTTATTTTCCATAACATGCATTGCTCTCTTATGTACTAAAAGTAATCAGTCTATTAATGTTCTTTTCATGCTGTTTCTCCTTGTGTTAGGGCTCCATCCAGCAAAGAGCTGAGCACTCCTGCACGGTGCTGAGCCCAATCAATGCCAGTGTTGCCAGATCTCATGATTTTGTCATGAGTCTCATGATAATTATTATTTTCCTTAAAGCCCCAGCTCCCGGAGCCAAGTGATTATGTGATGATTTCAGCCTTCATTTTTAAAGAAAAAATAAGTTTCTAGCTCTTGTGGCTGCGGAGAAAGCATCAAAATGTGACCTAAAGGCTCAAAAAGCAGAAGGCAAGCAAAAAAGAACACCAAATCTGTTATTGTTACATAATCTTGTGATTTTAAAACCAATCTCATTATTTTTGGTGAGCTGGACTCATGATTTTTAAACATTTGGGGTTGGCAATTAGGGCCGGCTCCAGGCACCAGCCCACCAAGCATGCGCTTGGGGCGACGCCTGGAGGGGGGCGGCGCAGCGCTCCAGCCCGAGAGCAGGGCCGCGACTGGGCTTGCTGCCCTCCCCGCAGCGCTCCGGCTGCCGGGGGCCCTCTGCCCTCCCCCCGATGCTCTGGCCGCTGGGGAGAGTGGAGAGCCCCGGCCGGGCTCTCTGCCCTCCCCCCCCAGCGCTTCGGCCGGTCAGGGATTGCGGGCCCGCGGCCGGGCTCGGTGCCCTCCCCTGCCGCGCTGGGGGCGGGGAGGGCGGCGGCGGGTGGCTTTTTTGCCTAGGGTGGCAAAAAAGCCAGAGCTGGCCCTGTTGGCAATTCTGCAATGATCGCTGAAATTTGTGATAGTTCAGGGCACACAGAATCTTACAGGAATGATCAGCGCCTTGTAAGGCCAATCATTTCAATAAAGAGAAATTTTGTTGTTTCTACTTTCAATATGGGGCTTTATCATCAAAGTCTTCTATGCATAAGCCCTGTCTTAGCTCTCCCTTTAGGACTTTTTCTTGCCATTTACTTTAAAGTGTTATCTTTCCTTTTTTGGAGCATGTTTTCCAAAGCATACTCAAAACTTGCACTCTCAAAATTGCCTGTGTATGTCCGTTTGCCCGCATATGTGCTAATCAGGTCTTTGTATGTCTAGCTGCCTTCTTTGTGCACAACAATTTAGGCTTTATATATGCCAGTGGATCAGTGTGAAAATTTTGATCAGAATGGAGACTAGCTGGGAATATGGTCCTTAATTCCAATGCCCTGTGTGCCTGTTGCATTCGTCCTAGAGCCATGATAACACTGAAAGAGCTCCTTCCACGAGTGCTTACTGAAACTAAAATGACCACCGAGGCACGTATAGTCTAGTGCATGTTAGGGAGCAGAAGAGAACAGACAGCAAAACTGTGCACCACTTATGCCCAGATCTTGTTGGTCAGAAGGATGGTCTTGTGTTTCTGGCACAGAAGAGCAAGACAGGAGACCCTGACCTGGATTCTGTTTCTAACTCTGCCACAGTCTTCCTGTGCAATTGGAGTATTGAGAGGCTAAATTCATTCATGCCTGTGAGATGCTTTTGACACCCTGGAGCAGCAGATACTATAGATGCACAGGACATTATAATTGCAGAATGTGTGAGACTGGCCCATCTCCAGTGACCAGAGTGAGGATGTCTCTCTAAACTGTTCCTGCACCTTAGGTTCCACTCCTTCCCTCTCTCTGCCTTACAGACCTCAGGCTGAATACACTTTCTGAACCAGTTTATTATGCTCAGCTTATATATCAGTTCATTCAGGCATCAGTTTGTTTGTTATGTCCAGCTTTACCAAAGGATAAAAGGCAAATGCCATATTGCTAGAAAATTACAAACACGACCCTCTAAAAATTGTGCTATACGATGCAATGTTTATTTTTGTGTGTATATAGTGCAAGTGTCTAACATCAAAGCATTACGGTACAAACCGTGCACATAGTTTCACCCTAAAATCAAGGACCTTAAAAAAAAAGAATCTAAATCAACCCAGTTTCACAAGGGCCATCTTTGTGATAAAGAGACAAAAGATAAACAGGAAACCATGATATTTCCATTTTTCTAGCAATGTAACAGCTTTGCAAGTGGAACAAAATTAAATCTGCGTTCTCTGAGGTTACACTTACAAGTCAAAGACTGAAAGCATTGTGGGAGCCAAATTCTGTTCTCTTTTATTCTGGTGTAAATCTGCTGTAGCTCTGGTGAAGTGAACAGCTATTCTCAATTTAAAATATTTTTTATCCCCTCTCAATTATCAGTCTGCATACAATCAGCATCACATTATGTCCTCTGCATCTTTTCAATAGTTTCACTTTCTTTCAGCCAAAAGTCTAGGGTGTGATCTTTCAAGGTACTGAGCGCTTCAGGGGAAGGTGCTGAGCGCCCTCAATTCTCACTGACTTCTGTGGGTGTTAAAAATGCTCAGCGCTTTACAGGATCAAGCCCTTTGTGATGTGAACATGCAAATTCACTCTATTGAGAGGGGTCTCTCTTTTTCTCTCAGAATGGAAGACGAATCACTTATAGAGCACTGCACTGCTTCAGCCAGACTACCATTAATTTCAAAAGGAGCATGGTAGCAGTTGGATGTGAGTGAGGAATTTGGGTGAAAGCTCAAAGTGAGAGACCCTGATTTATCACCGTCTCAGCAATGCAGAGGACTTATTTGAGCTCCCATCTTGGCTATCATATATGGAAGAGCTCTGCTCTCGGCTCTTACCAGTGCAATGAGTCATGTTCTCCAGAATTTTAAAGAAGGCTTTACGGAATCTCTCCCCAGCAAACACATAGAGTAAGGGGTTCAGGCAGCTGTGAAGGAAGGCGATGCTCTGAGTTATCTGGAATCCAAGGTCAATCTTGTCAGAGGTTTTCCAGTCAGATATGACCATGGAGTAGGCATCGATGGTTTTAATCAGCAAAATGCTGTTGTAGGGCAACTGGGAGAGGAGGAAAGCTGTGATAATAATGATGATGATCTTTAATGATTTGTGCTTTTGGA